TTACGATACTTCGTATGGTCAAGAAGAGCCCCAGGAGAAACAACAAATTTCCTTGATTGTCAAAACCATACCCATAACACCGGAAACCCAATTTCTAGAGGATGTGGGAGTATTTGTTAAGGAAAAATTAACCTATTGGGATGTTTTACCACGTCTGGCTATTCTGAGTAATGGCGATATTTTTGGAGCAAAGTAATTTAATATTTTTAAAGTGTTTATTTAAAGTTTTAATTTTTTAAATAATTTTAGTTGTTTTTATGCCACTAAAACACCGGTGCAAACAATTGTTTTCAATGATCTTAAAGTGGATGGTTTTACAGTGGCATCTCGTCAAGATGGTTTAGATTGGAATCATACGGTTTGATTTTGGAAAAATTAGCTAAATTCCATGCCACTTCAATGGTGTTAGCAAAAAAGGTAAGAATGTGGATACGAATTAAACTAGGACTAAACTAGAACCGAACCCAGAATTGAACTAGTACTGAACTAGAACTGATTTAGAACTGAACTACAACTAAACTAGAACTGACCTAGAACTGAATTAGAACTGAACTACAACTAAACTGGAACTGAACTAAACCTGAACTAGAACTGTACCGGAACTGAACTAGAACTAAACTAGAACTCAACTAGAATTGAACTAGAACTAAACTAGAATTAAACTAGAACTAAACTAGAACTAAAATAAGACTTAATTAGAACTGAATTAGAACTGAAGTAGAATTGAATTGGAACTGAATTAGAACTGAAGTAGAACTGAACTAGATCTGAACTAGAACTGAACTAGAACCAAAATAGAATTGAACTAGAACCGAAATATAACTGAACTAGAACTGAATTAGAACTGAACTAGAACTAAACTAGAACTGAACTAGAACTGAACTAGAACTGAACTAGAACTAGAACTGAACTAGAACTGAAATAGAACTGAACTAGAACTGAACTAGAACTGAACTAGAACTGAACTAGAACTGTACTAGAACTGAACTAGAACTAAACTAGAACTGAACAAGAACTGAATTAGAACTGAACGAGAACTAAACTAGAACTCAGTGGCATCTCGTCAAGATGGTTTAGATTGGAATCATACGGTTTTGATTTTGGAAAAATTAGCTAAATTCCATGCCACTTCAATGGTGTTAGCAAAAAAGGTAAGAATGTGGATACGAATTAAACAGGACTAAACTAGAACCGAACCCAGAATTGAACTAGTACTGAACTAGAACCGAACTAGAACTGAATTAGAGCTGAACTACAACTAAACTAGAACTGAACAAGAACTGAATTAGAACTGAACGAGAACTAAACTAGAACTCAACTAGAATTGAACTAGAACTAAACTAGAATTAAACTAGAACTAAACTAGAACTGAAGTAGAATTGAATTGGAACTAAATTAGAACTGAAGTAGAACTGAACTAGATCTGAACTAGAACTGAACTAGAACTGAACTTGAACTGAACTAGAACTGAACTAGAACTGAACTAGAACTGAACTAGAACTGAACTAGAACTGAATTAGAACTAGAACTGAACTAGAACTGAACTGAACTACAACTGAACTAGAACTGAACTAGAACTGAACTAGAACTGAACTAGAACTGAACTAGAACTGAACTAGAACTGAACTAGAACTGAACTAGAACTGAACTAGAACTAAACTAGAACTGAACTAGAACTGAACTAGAGCAGAACTAAACTAGAAATGAACTCGAACTGAACTAATACTGAACAATAATTGATATCGATATATAACGTATGAGAATAAATTATTGAATTAGATATTAGATAAGAGATTCAATTTAAATTAATTTTAATCTATATAATCGTTTTTAAGGATCCTGCTATAACCAAACGTCTTCAAAAGGGTATGTTGTGTGAGGAAACTGTCTTGAAAACGGATACATTTCTACAAATGTTTGGTGGCTATTTAGGACAATTAGTAAAATCATCCAGAACTTGGCCCGGTTATGAAAATATCTCTAATAAATTGCAAAAATACCACAACAATTTTAAAGAAATTACACACAAACTAGCCAAAGCTAAAGAAGGTGATCGCTTTGTGGTACTCAATCATGGTGATATGTGGACCAATAACTTTATGTATGCCTATGAAGATGAAAATGAACCCACTAAGCCTACCAAAGCAATATTCGTAAGTAGCTTTAATAATAGATTTCGTGAATAATTTAGTTGATAAATTATTTACTATTACAGGTTGATTTCCAACTGAGTTTCTTTGGCAGTCCCGGTTGTGATTTGAATTTCTTCTTTAACACCAGTGTTCAATTGGATATTTTGAAATCAAAACGTAATGAATTAATTGAGATCTATTATAAAAGTTTCTCGGAATGTTTGGATTATATGCGTTATGAGGACATACCCACTTTGGATGACTTGAAATATGAATTAAGATCGAGAGAATTGTATGGTCTATTTGCTCTATTTGGTTTCTTGCCCATGGTTACACTGCCGAAAGAACTTTCTGGTGATACAAGTATTGAAGCTTTCACCAATGAGGAATATAAAAATAAAAAGTTGGAAACTATGTTTGCCCGCGACGAATTAACCGATCATTTGAAGTACAGTCTTAAACGTTTAGAAAAATTGGGAGTTTTAGAAGAATTTTAGATTTAAGGTAGAAGTATGTTAAAAATTTATATTTTTTACATAATTATTATATAGTAGTGATTTTTTGTCAAAAGTACAAAATAAAGTAGTTTTAAATACAATATTTTTAATTAAAAATTTAAACTCAATAACTATTTTTGGTGAAAATTAAAAGCATTTATATTAGCGAATAATATTAATTTACTTGATTTTCCATCTCTGATGGTAAATTGTGATCTTAAAGTGTACGGTTGGAACTGAACCAGAGCAGAAATTGAAGTAGAACTGAAATAGAATTAAACTAGATCAGAACTGAACTAGAACTAGTACCGAACTAGAACTGAACTAGAACTGAAATAGAACTGAACTAGAACTGAACTAGAACTGAACTAGAACTGAACTAGAACTGAACTAGAACTGAACTAGAACTGAACTAGAACTGAACTAGAACTGAACTAGAACTGAACTAGAACTGAACTAGAACTGAACTAGAACTGAACTAGAACTAGAACTGAACTAGAACTGAACTAGAACTGAACTAGAACTGAACTAGAACTGAACTAGACCTGAACTAGAAACTGAACTAGAACTGAACTAGAACTGAACTAGAACTGAACTAGAACTGAACTAGAACTGAACTAGAACTGCACTAGAACTCAACTAGAACTGAACTAGAACTGAACTAGAACTGAACTAGAACTGAACTAGAACTGAACTAGAACTGAACTAGAACTGAACTAGAACTGAACTAGAACTGAACTAGAACTGAACTAGAACTGAACTAGAATGAACTAGAACTGAAACTAGAACTAGACTGAACTAGAAACTGAACTAGAACACTGAACTAGAACTGCACTAGAACTCAACTAGAACTCAACTAGAACTCAACTAGAAATCAACTAGAACTCAACTAGAACTGAATTAGAAATGAACTAGAAACTGAACTAGAACTGAACTAGAACTGAACTAGAACTGAACTAGAACTGCACTAGAACTCAACTAGAACTCAACTAGAACTGAATTAGAACTGAACTAGAACGAACTAGAACTGAACTAGAACTGAACTAGAACTGAACTAGAACTGAACTAGAACTGAACTAGAACTGAACTAGAACTGAACTAGAACTGAACTAGACCTGAACTAGAACTGAACTAGAACTGAACTAGAACTGAACTAGAACTGAACTAGAACTGAACTAGAACTGAACTATAACTGCACTAGAACTCAACTAGAACTCAACTAGAACTCAACTAGAACTCAACTAGAACTGAATTAGAACTGAACTAGAACTGAACTAGAACTGAACTAGAACTGAACTAGAACTGAACTAGAACTGAACTAGAACTGAACTAGAACTGAACTAGAACTGCACTAGAACTCAACTAGAACTCAACTAGAACTCAACTAGAACTGAATTAGAACTGAACTAGAACTGAACTAGAACTGAACTAGAACTGAACTAGAACTGAACTAGAACTGAACTAGAACTGAACTAGAACTGAACTAGAACTGAACTAGAACTGAACTAGAACTGAACTAGAACTGAACTAGAACTGAACTAGAACTGCACTAGAACTCAACTAAAACTCAACTAGAACTCAACTAGAACTCAACTAGAACTCAACTAGAACTCAACTAGAACTCAACTAGAACTCAACTAGAACTCAACTAGAACTGAATTAGAACTGAACTAGAACTGAACTAGAACTGAACTAGAACTGAACTAGAACTGAACTAGAGCAGAAGTAGAACTGAAGTAGAACTGAACTAGAGCAGAAGTAGAACTGAAGTAGAACTGAAGTAGAACTGAACTAGAACTGAACTAGAACTTAACTAGAACTGAACTAGAGCAGAAGTAGAACTGAACTAGAACTGAACTAGAACTGAAGTAGAACTGAACTAGAACTAGAACTGAACTAGAACTGAACTAGAACTGAACTAGAGCAGAAGTAGAACTGAACTAGAATTGAACTAGAACTGAACTAGAACTGGACTAGAGCTGAACTAGAAATTAATTAGAATTGAATTTGAAAAGTACTGGAACTGAACTAGAGCTGATTTTCCCTTAATTTATAAGTATAATTTTGAACTGAAATTCAAGTTTTCAAATCTTACTTAACTTTTAAATCCTAATACAACCTACAATTCTAAATAGCTTAATGATATCGGAATCTTTCTTTGATAAAAATGAAAACAAACTAAGAAAATAAACTAAACCATTACAAGTCAATCAATTTGCCCCCCATACTGCAGAAATGAACAAATCAAAGTAAAATGTCATTAGAATCAATTAAAATGAATCTGCCTCTCCATGCAATGAAATGCAACAACATTAATTGTAATACAAGTTATAAATACACATGATTTCTATAAAAATCTTTTAGTTTTTAACGAAAATTTCAAACAAAATCACAATGGCCAAATTGGAAACTCAAACACCGGCGTATCTAAATAGTGAATTTATACAAAAAGCTTTGGAAAACTATTTATGCTGCAATGAAGTGAAAATAAATGAATTTGTAATTTCAAATTTGGTCTCGGGTTCGGGTGAAAATTATTGCAGTGATATTTATGAAATTAAATTTAAATATCAATTAATGGAGGGGGAGGAAGAAGAGCAGCAAGAAAGTGTGGTAGTCAAAAGTATGCCAAAACACAAGCAATTGGTTTTAAGAAATTTAAAAATTTACAATAGGGAGTTGTATTTCTATAGAAATATTTTACCCAAAATGGAAACGTTAATGAAGATAAAGGACAAGGATTATGTTCTGGGACCAAGGTACTAAATGGAAATGAAATAGAGGAATTAATAATTATTATTTTTTTTTTTTTCAAAAATTTAGACTTTTTTACAATATCTCCCAGCCGGTGGAAACATTAGTGTTTCAAAATTTAAATCCCTTGGGTTTTCATTTGCAAAGTCGACAAACCGGTTTAGATAAGATACACTCTCTCATGGTTTTACAAAAACTAGCGCAATATCATGCTTTGTCACTGAGTTTAAATGAATGGGTAAGTGTTTTTATTAGGGAGGTATTTAAGACAGAATTGTAATATTTTCATTTCAGGATGATAATATATTTTCCAATATCTTGCAACGTTATCCTTTTGGTTTATTGAATATGGACTCCTGTAAATCGGACTCTTTTAAGGCTTTATTTGGTGGACAACTTTTGAAACTCATGGAAATCCTTAAAAATGATTTGCAGATAACAGAGGGTCTTGTAAAGAAATTAGAAGATTATTATGCTCATTTTACGGAACGTGTTTTGAAATCGGTGTATCCTTTGAAAGGACAATTGAATGTTTTAAATCATGGTGATTTGTGGGTGAATAATTTAATGTTTCGCTATGGATCGAAAGATGATAGTAAGCCGGCCGAAGTAGATTTGTAAGTATTAAAGAAGGTTAAAATATATTCTTAACAATTAGAAAAATAACTTCCAAAGAAGTAGAATTTACTACTTTATAATTACTATAGATTTTAGATTTCCTACATTTTGGTTAAAGATCATTTTTGCATATCATTGGTTGGTTTCGAGCTATAGTGCATTATTTTACACTACAGCACTATAGTGGGGAAGGTAGTATGCGTTTGTGCCAAAAATATTGATCCTACAACCGTCTTAAAGAATACAAATCGGGCCAGAATCACTTTCTGAGTCGATTAAGATCTGTATTTCCATGTAAACCTTGTGCACATGTTACAGATCTCAATTTTCAAGATAACTTTATGCAATTTGGCACATACTTCTCCCTTGGTTAAAAAAAATTGAAAAAAAAAATTGGAAATAATGAAGAAATAGCTATCTGAACTCCTTTGGACAATTTTTGCTGGGACCAATAGGTGAAAAGTTACACTCATTTGAATAAAACCCTGTTGACCAAAATGTCCAACTTTGACCCCCTATAAGTCCGGCAGATCTTGACCTATAGAGCTGAATTTGTGTCTGGCCTACTATCCCATAGTTCTAACCTTGATGCAAATAGCATCCAAATCGGAAGACATGATTTTTAAAGTTGGATCACTTGACACGAAATTCCCCATATGACTTTCAATATCTCGTTTGGTGCGCACGGGATGGTGACAAGTTGAACCTCAAGATGCAACCCTAAGCAAACTTTTATTTAAATTTTAAATTCCCCAATTTAAATACTTGTTCGACCAATTTTTTTGCACTAAAAAATTCCCATTATATTTCTTTTCCAATTACAGATCGACTTTCAACTCAGCTTTTATGGCAGCCTAGGCTTTGACGTCAACTATTTCCTAAACACAAGCGTTCAATTAGATGTCTTAAAACACAATCGTTCCGAATTAATCGATACCTATACCAATACACTATTACAAACACTAGAAACACTACCCTACCCCATTACGCTGCGACCCACTAAAAAACAAATTCAACAAGAAATATTCGAAAAAGAAGCGTATGGATTTTTTGTTGCATTTGCATTTTTTCCATTGATGTCAATGTATGCCAACGATTCCCATGACAATTCGTTGGAAAAATTAAAAGATGCAAAATTTGCCGAACAAAAAATTCAATTAATGTTCACCAGCAATAAGAGAACAATTGAAACGTTGAAATTTAATATTAAACGTTTAGAACAATTAGGTGTATTGTAAAATTTTGCAAATTGTGATACAATTTGAAATATGAGAGGAATTTTAAGTGATGAAAAATGCAAACAGAAATTAAATTTATTAAGCTTTTTTAAAAATTTTAAATTTTAGATTGTAGCAATATTTGCAAAATACATGTGTATTATTTTTTTTATGAATAATGATGTGTTTGAATTGTTAGCTGATTATTGACATGTTGAGAATTTTATATTTATATTGTTACGTTTGTTTATTTAAATATATTAATTAATTTAAAAAGCTTACAAGAAAGTTTATTGTTTCAGGAATCATATATATGTACATTTAATTGTTTGTCTCGCACGCTTACAGAATTTTGAATTTTGTAATACCCTACAAAGGTCATTTAAGAATATTTGTTCGTTTTGAAACTTTAGGAAATCCTGAGAAATCTCATCTCAAGTTTTTAATAATTTAATACTAAAAAGTGTTTCTATATATTAAGAAAATATTAATATAAATTAAAGTAACTCTTCTTCATTAAAGCCATTAACATCGTTAATTAATAGTTTCATAGTTTTTTATAAATATTTTCTTAATTGTTTACAAACTTATTGACAAACTAAATATACCCCCTAGTATTTTAACCAGTTTTAAATGACCCCTTCATCCAAACATCAGTTTGATTTGTTTTATTTGTAGCCGCTTTCTTGAATGTTTGTTATTATTTCATTAAATTATTAAAAAAATAAATAATTAATATTAAAATTCTTTAAAATTACAATACAAAAATTGCGTGTTTTATTTTTTAATTTTATAAAAAAAATGTTGTCCTCTGTTATTTGATTTTTTTATAATTTTTAATTTACTTAGTTGTATTTAACCCTCAAACAGGTACAGTTAGGTGAAAATGATTATGATAGAATTTATTATTTATATCATGGATTTTGTTCTACATTCTTCAAATTTCAATTAATTTTATAAAATTTTAAAAAATTCTTTCTGGATTCAAGTTAAAAAAGAAACTTGTAAATTTCTTATCAATGCAGAAATATACAAAGTGATTTCGGCAAAATCGGATCAATTATGGACTAACTAAAACTAGAACTGAACTAAAACTGGAACTGAACTAGAACTGAACTAAAACTGAACTAAAACTGAACTAGAATTGAACTAGAATTGAACTAGAATTGAACTAGAATTGAACTAGAACTGAACTAGAACTGAACTAAACTGAGCTAAACTGAACTAGAACTGAATTAGAACTGAACTAGTACCGAACTAGAACTGAACTAGAACTGAACTAGAACTGAACTAGAACTGAACTAGAACTGAACTAGAACTGAACTAGAACTGAACTAGAACTGAACTAGAACTGAACTAGAACTGAACTAGAACTGAACTAGAACTGAACTAGAACTGAACTAGAACTGAACTAGAACTGAACTAGAACTGAACTAGAACTAGAACTGAACTAGAACTGAACTAGAACTAGAACTGAACTAAACTAGAACTAGAACTGAACTAGAACTGAACTAGAACTGAACTAGAACTGAACTAGAACTGAACTAGAACTGAACTAGAACTGAACTAGAACTAGAACTGAACTAAACTAGAACTAGAACAGAACTAGAACAGAACTAGAACTGAACTAGAACTGAACTAGAACTGAACAAGAACTGAACTAAAACTGAACTAGAACTGAACTTGAACTGAACTAGAACTGAACTAGACTAGAACTGAACTAAACTAGAACTGAACTAGACTAGAAATGAACTAGACTAGAACTGAACTAGACTAGAACTGAACTAGACTAGAACTGAACTAGACTAGAACTGAACTAAACTAGAACTGAACTAGAACTGCACTAGAACTGAACTAGAACTGAACTAGAACTGAACTAGAACTGAACTAGAACTGAACTAGAACTGAACTAGAACTGAACTAGAACTGAACTAGAACTGAACTGAACTAGAACTGAACTAGAACTGAACTAGAACTGAACTAGAACTGAGCTAGAACTGAACTGAACTAGAACTGAACTAGAACTGAACTAGAACTGAACTAGAATGAACTGAACTGAACTAGAACTGAACTAGAACTGAACTAGAATGAACTAGAACTGAACTAGAACTGAACTAGAACTGAACTAGAACTGAACTAGAACTGAACTGAACTGAACTAGAACTGAACTAGAACTGAACTAGAACTGAACTTGAACTGAACTAGAACTGAACTAGAACTGAACTAGAACTGAACTAGAACTGAACTAGAACTAGAACTGAACTAGAACTGAACTAGAACTGAACTAGAACTGAACTAGAACTGAACTAGAACTGAACTAGAACTGAACTAGAACTGAACTAGAACTGAACTAGAACTGAACTAGAACTGAACTAGAACTGAACTAGAACTGAACTAGAACTGAACTAGAACTGAACTAGAACTGAACTAGAACCGAACTAGAACTGAACTAAAACTGTACTAGAACTGTTAACAGTGCTGTTAAATAATTAGCCTTTTAACCTAAAAGAAAGACTAAAGATCATTGCTCTTCATCGAAATATATTAATATGATACAACTATGTAGTTTTAATGTTTATCTCATGTCTGAAACCACAATTATCTACCTCCAAAAGTAGTTTTCCATTTCTGCTAAAATCTTACGTAGAAACATATGATTTCAATTGAAATATTATTGTAGACATTTGAAAGATCTCGAATAGAAATCAAGATAAGCACAATGAAAAAGTTAGTAGCCACGAGCCAAAATTTGCAAACTATAAAATTATTGCAACAACAAAAAATGTTAAATCATTCTTAATACTATAAAAATGACAACAATTTGTCTCCAAATTATAAAATTTAATTTTCAAAAATAAACATTAATTTTGATAAGAATTTCTCACTGAAGCATGGCCAATGACTTCAATTAATCTAAAAAACTATATTGTTTTAAGAATTATTGTTAAACAACTAATGACTTGTTACTTATCTTTTTTTAAATATAAATCTTATTGCGCTTCTTTGTACACGTTAGGGTTAATAACAGTTTTTATAGTGTTTTGTTTTAATAAATTGAAAAAAAAAAAAACAAAGATTACGACACATCTAGACATTAATTAATGGCAATCAAATCATTTTTTTTCTCGCATCACCGAGATATTTTAGTGTAATAACAACTATACAGTTGCGAACACACTTTTTTAAACAGACCAGAGACTATTTAAGATGTTTGAACGGTTAAAATATTTTATATATTTCGAAACCTGTTTCAAGTGCAACACCTGTGATTCAACAAAGTTAACCAAAAATTAAAAAAAAGTGAACAATTGTTTAAAAAATTTAATTTATAACAGTGTTTTATATTTATAAAATTTCAATATGACTATTACCTATTCCGGAGACGTAGTGGCTGAACCCAAACATTTGGATTATGATTTCTTTACCGATATTTTGGAAAATGCTTTGTTAAGAAATAATTTTCAAATAAAAACCATTGATTTTACTATGGGCAGTAGTACGGGTGAAAATTATTGTAGTCAAATTTATCGTGTTACTGTTTCGTATAAATCTACAAATGATAACGGAAATGATGGTTACATTTCTGTTATTATTAAAAGTATGCCACATACAGAAGCTACTGATTTTTTGTTGGATTTAAATGTTTTCCTTAAAGAGGAATATTTTATAATGATGTTTTGCCCAGGTTGGAGGTGTTGTGTAAGGATGATTGTTAAATTGCTCCAAGGTGAGTTTGGAAAGTAATTGATTCATTTTTGTTATTTGTTTGTACGAATATTATTATTTTAAGTTTCTTTATCGATTTCAATAAAATGCATCAATACTCAATAAAAATGATAAAGTGCTTTCTCAGATTTGGGTTCCCAAAAACAAGTTCCAAACGACGAATTGTGAAACAAGTTGTAAAATTTAAAATAATAGAATATAAAGTTTGAACTATCACTAACTAGAACTGAACTAGAACTAAACCAGAACTGAAATAGAACTGAACTAGAACTAACTAAAAGTACTAGAACCGAACTTGACTGACCGAACTAGAACTGAACTAGAACTGAAACTAGAACCTGAACTAGAACTGAACTAGAAACTGAACTAACTAGAACTGAACTAGAACTGAACTAGAACTGAACTAGAACTGAACTAGAACTGAACTAGAACTGAACTAGAACTGAACTAGAACTGAACTAGAACTGAACTAGAACTGAACTAGAACTGAACTAGAACTGAACTAGAACTGAACTAGAACTGAACTAGAACTGAACTAGAACTGAACTAGAACTGAACTAGAACTGAACTAGAACTGAACTAGAACTGAACTAGAACTGAACTAGAACTGAACTAGAACTGAACTAGAACTGAACTAGAACTGAACTAGAACTGAACTAGAACTGAACTAGAACTGAACTAGAACTGAACTAGAACTAGAACTGAACTAGAACTGAACTAGAACTGAACTAGAACTGAACTAGAACTGAACTAGAACTGAACTGAACTGAACTAGAACTGAACTAGAACTGAACTAGAACTGAACTGAACTGAACTAGAACTGAACTAGAACTTAACTAAAAGTAACTAGAACCGAACTTGAACTAGAACCGAACTAGAACTGAACTAGAACTGAACTAGAACTGAACTAGAACTGAACTAGAACTGAACTAGAACTGAACTAGAACTGAACTAGAACTGAACTAGAACTGAACTAGAACTGAACTAGAACTGAACTAGAACTGAACTAGAACTGAACTAGAACTGAACTAGAACTGAACTAGAACTGAACTAGAACTGAACTAGAACTGAACTAGAACTAGAACTGAACTAGAACTGAACTAGAACTGAACTAGAACTGAACTAGAACTGAACTAGAACTGAACTAGAACTGAACTGAACTAGAACTGAACTAGAACTGAACTAGAACTGAACTGAACTAGAACTGAACTAGAACTGAACTAGAACTGAACTAGAACTGAACTAGAACTGAACTAGAACTGAACTAGAACTGAACTAGAACTGAACTAGAACTTAACTAGAACTGAAATAGAACTGAACTAGAACTGAACTAAAACTAAACTAGAACTGAACTACAACTGAACTAAAGAACTAGAGCAGAATTACAATTGAACTAGAGAACTAGAGCTGAATGAGAACTCAACTACAATGTCCTATAACGATTTATTTGGATAATTTACAGAATTACGATCAGTAGGATCCGTTTTGGAAACCGTTGGGCTAGAGTAATTTATGTGTTTTCCGAATTTGAAAGAAGTCTTATGATCCGGGAAGATTTTTACAAAAACAAGCGATAAAAATATGTAGATCCGAAAAAAAATCAGATTAAAAAAACTGTTACTTTAAAACCTCTAATACCGCACTTACTTCTGGTGGTTTGAAACTATTTCTAATATATTTTCAACGAATGTGTTCTTTGACACTAATTATGAATATCTAGTTTTACATAATTTAGCAATTGACGAGTCTTCAACTATTAGTAAAAATTGGACCCAATCTTCATAACTTAACAAAAATGTGTGAACAAGAACTTGTTCTAAAATTGTCTCTAAAAAGGTTTATTTGTTGTCAGAATCGATAAAATAATAACTGGGAACATCAATTAAAAACTGTGGGATTGTTGAAATCCCACAGAATTAGTTCCAAAGGTGGCAATTTCTTATTAAATATCAATATCAATTAAATATCATTGAACTGAAAGCCAAAATAGAGATAAATACATGCATTTTAAAACTAGTTTCTCGAACTATGTAATTCAATTCTTCCTAGAAAGTTCCATTAAATGTTTGCTCATATAGAAATCTTATTTAATTCTTTTATAAATAGCTTTTATGACATTATAAAACTACTTAACTACTTTAACATTTTCAGACTTTATCACTCTTTAAAAACTCCCGTCAACACTTTGGTATTTGAAGACTTGGCTGTAGGCAAATTTGAAATGGCTTCTCGAGAAAAGGGATTAGATCTAGCACACAGTCTAATGGTTATGAATAAATTGGGAAAGTTCCATGCAGCCTCAGTTAAACTCTTTAAAAAGGTAACCTATAAATTTAAACTCCAAAAATATTACATATATTTTGATTCAACAGAAAAAAACATTGAAAATCTTTATCTTCTTAATCAAGTTATAATTAAATAATTATTAAAATTTTCAATTTCTATACTTTCTCAAGGTTCCTGAATTACAACAATGTTTCAACTCGGGCATGTTAGCCGATACTGCCTTAAATAAGGACGAGGGTATGGTTATGAAATTTTTCGGTAATAATATTAAAGCACTCATCGATTTAATCGAAACCTGGCAGGGTTATGAAAAAATTACCGAGAAATTAAGAAATTATTCTAAAAACTTAAGAAACAATCTAAGACGCAGTGGAGCTGTGGAGAAAAATGGTTTTTGTGTCTTAAATCATGGAGATTTATGGGTCAATAATATACTCTTCAAATATAATGATGAACGTAAACTTGTTGATTTAAATTTTGTAGATTTTCAAATGTCTGTTTGGAATACTCCTGGTATTGATTTGAATTATTTCTTTTATACCAGTATTGAGTTTGATATTTTAAAAAATAAATTGGATGTGCTGATTAAAGAATATCATAGATCTTTAAGTGAAGGTATGAAAGAATTGGGCATTAAGGAAATACCCTCTTACCAAGATATATACAATGAGGTACAAAAGAGACAATTGTATGGATTCTTTGCTCATTATGGTGTTTTTCCGGTAATATGTCAAGATAAGGAACAATCGCACGATAGCAATTTGGAGAATTTCAATGATGAAGCATTCGCTAAGCAAAAGTTAAAGCAAATATTTGCCTCCAAACGTTTACAGGCATTTTATCGTTATACTTTGGAGAACTTCGATAAAATGGGTATATTCGATTAAAGCGGCACAAAAAATTCAGTTGATTGAAACATGAACAAAGCTATCATATAAGCAAAACATTTTGGTTTAAAATTTATCCAACAATTATTGGAAGCTGGAAGAACCAAAACTCAAATATGCATTCATTGTAAATGAATTTCACGTCAAGTTCGAAGGAACTTAAACTATTTATTAAACGTATTATGCACCCAATTTTATTTCTACAAGTAAATGTGATTGATTAATTTTACAAGTTGTAGAGCAATTGATTGTGATTGTTAAAATGTATTATTTATTATATCAAACTCAATAGATAATATTTTTATGCATTATTTGAATAAAAAACTTGTAAACAAAACTAATAATATACTAAAATAATTTATGATTTTATACACGATTTTAATTTATATTTAATTAGGCAAATTTATGTACTTATCGTTTTTATTGACAATGTAACACTAAATTAAGTTATTAACAATAAAACTGTACTATTATATTTTTATAATAAAATCTAATAAAATCACTTTAACACACTAACTTGCATTGTTGCTTTTGTTAGAAAATATTATAGGAGTTTCTCTAATAATACGGAAAACAAATAATTTAATAATGTAATAACAATAAAATTTTATTTAAATATCATAAACAACTTAAAACGATCCAGCATTTCCACAATGGAAATCGTTTACGATAAAACGGTGGTTGTTATACCAAAACATTTAAATTTAGATTTTTTCGAAGAAATTGTTGAAAATGCCGTACAAGAGGCGAATCCTTTAATTAAAAGGATTTTTATAAAAATGGGTAGTAGTGCGGGTGATAATTATTGTAGTCTTATCTATCGCGTTTTAATCAGTTACACTTTAAGCGATGATTCGGGATTAGAACATACACTTTCGGTTATTATAAAAAGTATGCCTGTGACGAAATCGATTGATTTTTTGGAGGATATGAAAGTGTTTTTAAAAGAGAAAATATTTTATTATCATGTATTGCCAATAATGGAAATTTTCACGAATGATCGTAAACAATTTGGTGCAAAGTGAGTTGTATTGGAAGATATTAAAAAATTAAGATGTACTTTTAAAATGTTTGACTTAGGCTCTATCAATGTTTGAAGAAACCCATAAATACTTTGGTTTTCCAAGATTTAGGATCTTTGGGTTATGGTTTGGCCTCACGTGAACGGGGTATGGATGAAAATCATGCCTCGTTGGTGTTACGGCGTTTGGCACAGTTTCATAGCATTTCTTTGGTGGTTAAACAGAAGGTAAGCTGAATTATCCCTATGTTACAGATTTTTTTACGGATCCATCATAAATAATAAATAAATAATGGCCCAATCCGGATAGTGTTGCAAAATGATTTGTATATGTATACACAAAACATATTCGTGTAGAATTTCATCTCGATATTACTAGTAATTCAAGAGTTATTTACGATTTTTCAGAAGAGGAATTTATATGGGTGACAAACTGTGGGCCGATATCATTTTATGGGAGCTATGGTCATTTATTGACCAAACTATGGTTTTGTTGATAATACGATTTCTATTAATGGGAGCTTTATAAAATTTCGAACCTATTCTAATAATTGCTGAAAAAACTGCTATAATTTTTGAAGAAAAAAAAACACTAATCAAGAATGAGAAAAAATGTAATAATTTCATGGGTTGTTTGGGACTTTTGCTCATATTTCCGTTATTTATGGACCGATTTGGCTGATTCTCGAGACTTCTCGAAAACATATCTGATAGAATAATTGAAGATTAGGATTTCGCAGATATCTGGGATCTTCTGAAAATTGATTTTAACATTCAAACGGACAGACAGACGTACCTGGATAAATCGACTCCGCTATCTATAAGGACTCGAAATATTTATACATTATAGTTTCTGGATGTAGAAATTACAAACGGAATGACAAACTAAACATACCCTTCTCTCAAAGGTGAAGGGTAAAATCGCTGAAAAGAGAATTAGTTTTGAAACTATACCAAAAATGGATAACTAGAGAACATCCTCATTCCGAACTAGTAAGATTGAAATTTAAAATTTAAAGAAATTAAAAAAAACGGAAAGCTATAAGTAATCTGCAAAATATTCAAATTTAAAATAAATACTTTCAGGATCCATCTCTCTTCAAATGTTTCAACTCTGGAATTTTGGCTAAAGGAGCTATACAACGTGACAACAGCACATTCTATTGCCTAATCAAGGCAAGCTGTGAGGCCTTAATTGATTTAGCAAAGACATGGAAAGGTTATGAAGATATATGCCGAAAACTAGAGAATCATTTGAAAAACTTACGCTCTAAACTCGAACAAATGCAAAAACCGCAAGAACAAGAATTTCAAGTATTAAATCATGGCGATATGTGGGTCAATAACATGATGTTTCGATATGACTCCCCCAATTCCCAACAACCCCAAGATGTGGTATTTGTAGACTTTCAAATGAGCATATGGGGTAGTCCCGGTATCGATTTGAACTACTTCTTCTATACCAGTCTACCGGTTAAATTGTTAAAGGAAAAACGTGAACATTTCATAGAAATCTATTATGAAGAATTACAAAGTTCACTGAAAAAATTAAATTATGAAAAAATACCCACATTACAACAAATACGCGACGAAGTGAGAAAACGTGAATTGTTTGGTTTCTTTGCCAATCATGCCATTTATCCCATTATTAGCATTGATAAGGAAATTGCCGCCGACAGTACGTTTGAAAATTTCGCTGATCGTGAATTTGCCAAAAAGAAATTCAAACAAATTTTGGAACAACAAAAACTTAAGGACATGTACGCTTACACTTTGCTACATTTCAATGAGATGAAAGTGTTTGATTAACACTTGAATTTTGTATTGCCGTTTGGCGCGACAAATGCATTCACATTCAATTAAATTTTAAGTGTCTTTTTAAAAATGATGGTGTTGGTTTGCAGAAAATACAACAATACATGTAGAGTTGTTTCATTTTAGTTTAGTTAAAAGTTTATATAATATCAGGTGTCAAATAGAGTATTGTAATTGCTTAAATTAAACTTTAAATTGTTTTTAAAGTGGAAGTGGATTCATTTATTGGTTCATGTTGGTTTTTTTTTTTGTCATTCTGTTCTGGGAGATTTTTGCATATTTAATGAAAGATTAAAATAGAGGTGAGTATGTTGAGTGCATTGATTTGGTTGCTGCTGGGATTACGAATTTACGTACTTTTTTTCGGGAGGTAAGATTTCACAAATTTGAAAGAAAAGCTGTTTTTTCAAATTGATTTTGTAACAAAAACGTTCTAGTTACTCGATTTAAAACTAAAATTATCTTAACCTACAAATTTGAAACTGACTACTAAGGATAATTGCAAATTTTAGTGTGAAAATAATTTTCAAATTTATTAAATATTTACAAATTTATTCCTCTACATTGTTGCAACACTCACAGAATGAGAATAACTAATATCACAATTCGCTTAAAAGAAGGGCACTTTAAAATTCGACCTCCATATGAACTCTTACTCTTATTTTATCTTAAAACCAAAAGTAAATGAACTGAAAACATGTGCAAAATCGTTGTCATTAACTAGTGTAATTGCAACGACTTAGCAGCGCTATACTCGCTATTTAACAAGGAAAACAAACAGAAAGACAAATAATCGATTTTTGTTTCATTTCATTTTCCCCCCTCGAAAAAAGCAAACAGAAAAAAAAACGAAACCTAAACTTAAATAAAAGTTGAAAGATAGAAAAATTTGTAAACAAACATTTAAATGTTGCTGTTGCCATTTTGCGATGCATTTGTATAGATTGTGTTGACAAAAACAAACAGACTTTTTTACGAGTATTTTCTATGCTTTGTATTTCTTCTTTTTTTTTGTGAACGTGACCAAACGGTAGCAGGAACAACATCAGTAACAACATAATGTTTTCAGTTGTTCTCTGTCTGTTTGTCTTTGGCTTCTTTTTTTGCATTATAAAAGCGCAACTAAAGTATTAGGCTCCTGGTATGTACATGGTGTTATTTGTTAAGTTAACCAACGTACCAAACAACAACAATAACAGCATAAAAGCTGGAGCATCAGCAACAGCAGCTGGTGTTGATGTTGATTTCAAATTTACTGTTGTTGCAACTTCTGCTTCAGCTACTGCCGTTGTTGTAGAAAATCAGCATGTCACCATTGTAAAAATCAACGAGAAAGTTTCCCCAAAAAAGTTAAAAATAAAAAATAGAGTAAAAACCACATTTGTTTCGCCTTTTTGTTTGTGACCCACCACTACCACTATCAACAAAAACTAAAACAAGAACACAACTAGAGGATGGTATTTAAAAAAAAGGAAACAATTGCATTTAACCGCATTAGCAACAAACATGCCACTGTTGCTGATGCTGTTTCTATTGTTGATGCTGCAGTGACAATGCCAGTTGCATTTGTACAGTTGTTGGTGAGTTTGATGCTGCTCTATTGCACTAATAAAAGTTTAGGCTGTAACAACTGATTGAACTGATTACCAAGAATATTGAAATTAAAACAGCAACAACAATAGCAAAATAAATATTTTGAAGATTAAAAACATTTTAGCAAGAATTTAAGAATGTCTTTGAGTTCAAAACATTACGAACAATATAGATAAATAAAAAACAATTGAATTACAATGTATAACTAATACAATTTAAAACACTTTAAATGATGTTTAAGGATTTTCAATTGTTAAATTGGAAGTATGAAAATGGTCTTATTTTGATAAGGATTTAAAGGAGGACAATTTGGAGAATCAAAGTAATATCATGTTTAAAGTTTTAAGGATGCTGAAAAAATGACGAAAAATGCACCTATAAATGACAAGATGGCTTATAAACTTGCCAATACAAAAACTAAAGACATAAATGCCAGTCGAGGAAAATTAAGATCAAAAAATATAGTAAATAAATCAATACGTCTTAATTTTTCTTAGTTCTCTATATATCTGTTCTGTAAATCGAGCGAAATAATATCGATATTATCATTGATTTGTTTTTAAATAAATAAAAATTAATAAAATAAAAATAATTTAAAAACAATAAACAGATAACAATTTATGTTACATTTTAAATGCATTTGTAAGATTTATATTTTTTCTTATTATTTCTTTTTACTGCCTTTAAGGCAAAATGTAAATGTAAAACTGTAACATGAAGAAATAGATGTTGTCTGTCAATTGTTGAAATATGTAGTTTCACTTACCTTACCACCACACAATTTTTCAGTTCGGTCATATCCTGAGTCTTGATGAAATTCTTGAGTCTTGAGTTCCAGTCCAAAAAATGTCTACTTCAAGTTGTATTTTATGGTTTGAACACTCGCGACGTATGTTTTTATAACGAATCTAAAGTCTATAATTTTTATAATATTTTGAAAAGTTCCTATACCGAACGATCACTTTTTACACTTTGGTAACGAACGAGCGGACGATCACTACACTACCGATATAACCGAAATCTTCCGGAACCGTTTTAAACGTTTTGTTCTTTTATTATAGATACTGTGTCTTAATATTTACTTATTTATAATGTTAGATTTTTTGTTAATAAATTACTGGCTTGTTGTTAATTGTGTGATAAATATTAATGAAATTCTAATTACCGTAACGAACGCGTACGAACGAATATTTCGAATAACCGTGTGAAACGTTTTGTTGTGAATATTTTGTTATGGTTAGTGTTTTCAAAAGTTGGAAACTGCTGATGGTCAGGTGTTTTTAAGGTAAGTAGAGTTAGCAGTAAGTTCAAGATGTTTGTAGGATGTAAGTTCCAGTAATTGTAATTATGTTGTTGAGCTGCCACAAGTGCTTCTGTGTAGTGGTGGTTTCATTTGTTGTGATGATGTGGAAAATATGCAACTTTAATTTAAAGTAACAAATGAGTTTTCATATTTATTTATAACAAAGTTTGTGGACACAGCCGTTATATATAGGAACCCCAGCCTATATACATGGAAGCTAGATTATCAATATCTGTAGCTTCGTTTATAAGGAAATTAACTTGGCCTTCGGTAGACAAAGGCATACTATTACCCAGAGTACGTTTGACCTGCAATATTAAAATAGATTTATATATTTTGTTGGTTTTTTTTTAGAATACAGCTATACTTACGTAACCCTGTAACCTTTCTTCTATACGTTTAACATCTGTAATGGCTTTAGGATCGGTTATTTCCAAACCTGAATGTGTTTTTCCCTTCAAACGATTTATAGCACCCAAGTCGTAAACAAATGGTCGAAGTACAGACATTAAGGTTTTCGACTCATCCTTTAACAAACGTAAAGTGATTTCACAACATTTACGAAATAGACCTTCCACACCCAAAGGTCCCATAGCGAATACCATATTGCGCGTTAAACGAAAAGGTACAATTTCTGGATAAGCAAATGATTCACCTTGATTGAAGAGGCAATTAAAGTCAACATGTACTGCATCACCATTCGTTTCGTCGAAGAGTATGTTTTCACCATGACGATCACCCAAACCCAATATATAACCGACCATTGACATTACCGCTATAGTTTTAACATAAGAACTTCTAGCTTGATACCAACTGTGAGGCGAGGGAAAGCGTTGTTTAAACCATTCATGAAAGATGGGTGGATGACGTGTCAGTAAGACGTTTGTGAACATGGCTCTTTTCTTTTCCATGGGATCTGTTTTTGGTAGAGCACATTGTCGTAGTGCTCGATCTGGTATGCCCAAACCACGCATACGATACATGGAAACACAGATGCCTCTAAAGGAATTAAGATTGGGTAACCATTCAACCAGACCACATTCTTCATTGAAGGGTATGGCAGCGTAGGTGCGTATGCGTAAGCGACGATGACGAGCCTTTTGGGAAGGAGAATATAATGACAATGTTATAGGTATGATAAAGGAAGTATCATTTACACTTGCAGGTTTTAATATACTTCTGTACTTTTGTTTGTTACGTAAACATGTTAAAGTTACACTCACCTTTGAATCCTGATGAAGAAACCGCTTAACCAAACCATTAAATTCCATTAAACGGAAATCTTTGCGCAGATCATCTTTGGGCTTGACCATAACATTGTACGAGATACCATCACTACATTCAATGGTGATTTTCTTAGGTTTAGCAGCAGATCTTAAAACTACCACCTCTTCGCTTATGCCACACAAATAAACACAGCAACTGGGAAAAGGATTACTGGGCACTGAAGAAGCGTTAACTGTGGTATCCGGTGATATAGACGTATTTAAATTTAGAGACTCTGCTGTTGAAGTTATGGGAAATGAAGGTTGCATAAATTTTTCGAAGGGCAACATTATTTTTGAAAAATTACTATCCTCAAAAAGTCTAGGAAGTTGACGTACTAAACCACTCAATTCATAAGTACGATCAAAGGTAACTTCTTTGTCGGTGAGTTCAATTAAACGTTCAGCCAACATATTAAAATCGTTGAGTAGCTTTTGGAAGGCGGGTTTATTGAGACGAGCATCGGTAAAGATGAGACGGCAACGTTTAATGCGTGAATTGTGACAGGACTTAAATATGGGCAATAACATCCATAATGATTGTTGTGGGAAATGTTCGATAAGTTTAATGAAAATGTTTCTTAAATTATTAAAAACATCTGGTGAAGGATGACAAATGCGTGAGAGTAATTGTGAAAAGGCGGTATAAAATATACTAGTGGGCAACATGTTAACACAATTATTTATCATATCATTCATTTTCTTGGCCAACTCTTGGAATAAACTTATCTTAACGGCTTGACTAGAGTCTGAAGTTTGATTGGAGTCGGTCATTGATACCAATTGTGAAGTGAAATCTAGCCATATACTAAGCAAACGAGGCAAAGACTGATACACATTGGCATAGCCATATTTTAAGGATTTAGCATAGTGTAGCATTATATCCAATAGCAGACGACAGCCATTTTCCGATTCCTTTTGTTCTCGGGTAAAAGAGTCATAAATTTTTTCCATATATTGAGAATAATGCACCAAATATTTCTCACTGGTACGGTTGCCGGCAACAGCTTCTTTAAAGTAACGTAAATTCAATTCAGAGCAAATATTCATGGATTCGGCATTGTAGGAAGCTTGTAGAAATTTCGTTTCCGCATAAAGATGACGACTGGCGGTGTCCAGTTTACGTATATCACCTTCACATTTATTTTCAAGTACCTTAATGTTTTCCTCCAACAACTTAAAGCAATTACTTTGATTGCCTTTCTGCCACAGAAGTTTGGCTTTTTCCAAAAATAGGGTAACCGGTTGATATTGTTCTGCTTTCATTATGGAAATCTGAGCTTGCTGCAAGCAGCCAGCCTCACGATTCATGTGTATGGTACGCAACCATAATTTCACCAAATAATCATTAATTTTATCATTAACTTTTTGTATGAGATTATTGGCACAAGACAAATCTTGTTGCATAATTCTTTGCGTTTCCAGAAGCAAATTGCGACGGAAACAAAATACTGGCTCTAAAACACGAGCTATAGGCTGTAACACTTCCAAACGAGCATCCCAATTGTTAAAGAATTCTTGCACTTCTTTAAGGCATAGCTCAGTATTCTTAGCATCTTGTCTATCCGTATTATTAACGGTTGTATATTTTGTTATTTCATTGATTAATTGTTTATTATTTTCCAATTCATTTAACAAATGTAAACGTATGACTTCATCATAGGAATGTGTATAAGAATTGCCTGTTACCACAGAACATGATCTCATAGAGCTAACGACATTGGAACGTATAACATCCAGTTGTTCTAGGAAATTTTCAAATGTCTGCAGTTGTTTATCGTTTGGTTGACGGAAAAGTAAAAAGGATTCAGCACATTGTATATTCCAATTGGTAGTTTTACGCTTAACCACAGAATCCTCTAATAACTCTTGTAGTTCATCGTAACGGCCTAAACGCCACAACAATTCGGATTTACATTCTTTGAAGTAATCATCGGTATATTGATCGGCCAGTTTTTGCCAAAGGCCATCGGTGATAAGTAGGGCGGTTTCAGGATTATCCATACGCAGATAGCAATCAATCATTCCTGAAATTGTGAATAAAAATGAAAATTTGATACATATTGAACTTTTACTATTTGAAAAAAGTTTTGGTGAAGATTAAAACATTTTAGAAAAAAATTTTAGTAAAAATGAATTTTTGTCAAATTTTCAGTGAAAACGGATTTTAGATAATTTTTAATTTGAAAAGTTTTTCGATAACAATTTTTAGCGAAAAATAATTTCGGTAAAATTTTTTAGTGAAATAAAATGTTTTTGAAATTTGTGAAATTTTGTGTTGTAATAGTAATAGTTTTTAGTAATAATTGATTTTGATTTTATGAAATTTCTTAGCAAAAAATTTTTAAAAATATTAAATTTTTTATAAAAAGCAATTATGTACCTTTAATATGATCCTGATTTATTTGATGATCATCTTTTGACAACAATTGCTCATAACAGGTTATAGTCTCTTCGGGTTTATCAATCAAACGATTAACTAATATCTCTTCTTCCAAAGATAAATTAGATTTCTTCATATAAACAGCTCCCTCCACCGAGTCCGAATCCATTAATTTACCATGTATTTCAATAAGAAATGATAATTGTTCTTGCAATCGTACCGAGGGTTGTTCTTCAATATATTCCTCTAAATACATTAAAGCTCTGGCATATTCACCCGAATTGTAGTTGGCTTTTGATATTAAAGCTTTATTGAATTTCTTAAGAAAATCATAAATATTCTTAAAACGATTATCGGTTTGGGTGAGTTTACCACCCACCATATTGACTTTTTGCCATTCTCTACACCATCTTTGCAAGAAATCCACTTGCTCTGAACAGAGTTTTGTGCACGTTTGAGTTAAAGTTTCGGAAGTTTCAAATTGTTCTGAATTGCTAGATTCCGAGGGCATTTTGTCGGCAGCATATTTAGAAGATTTAAATTCTCTATAGCCGGAAACTTCCATTTCTTGTTGAGTGGAATGATCACGACTACAAAAGTTGAAAACGGCCATAAATTCTTCATAGATTTGTTGTACTTTGTCTTGAGGACATTCTTGGAGGGCGTGTAGCAGTATGTAGGGGAAAAATATGCCCAACATATTGGTGTCTCTTTTAATGCTGGGTTTGTAGGAATTTAATAAATGTTTTGTTTCATCTGATTGTACCATTTCTATTAGACGACAAGCCCAAGCAAATGACCAGTCCTCATAGCTGCGACAAAGACTACTTTCAAACAAGGGATGTTCAGTTAATTTACTTTCTCTTCTCGAGCCGGTATAACAGGAATTGAGTAATGGTTCCATTACTTGTTGCATTCTAGTAGGCAGAGCATCCCAAACATTTAGTTTTTTATTTTCTTTAGGTGACACACCAAACACCGATAGGGTTTCTTGTATAGCCAATGAAAAGTTGTCTACATATTTTGTATCCTTTTGAAACTGATACGCCTTACACAGTTCCATTAAAGCCATTATGGCAAAATCATCGGTATGTATACTTAAAGAGATTTCAGCCGAATTCATAAAGGAAAAATTTGCAGACATATAACTGGGATCTATGGCACCCAATTCGCCTAAACATTTAGCTGAAGCCAAATTCATATTACGATCATCATGCCTACAGCCTTTCATAAGTTCATCTACAATTTGTTCGATTAGGGGGTCTACTGGTACCGTATCCAATATCATATTATTTATTTCACTGCGATATTTGGCTATGAAGGATCTCATGTAATTTAAGCCATAAATACGCACCTGAAGATTTTCATTGCATACTTGTTTATAGAGGAAACCCAATTTGTCAGCCACACCATTACGTTCTATATTTAAAATCTCAGTTTGGCGTGCTACATATTGCCTTATATTTGGCTTGACTTCTGGCATGTCTTCCAAGAAATACAGATCTGGTATATAAACACCCAATAGACTATCGTTTTTCATTATTAGATAATCATAGATATCATTAACCTCCTGGGCATTTGTAGACATTAAAGGCTGCAATGAAGCCACTATACGACTTAGTGAAGGACCCAGTTCTTGAGTATTAACAATATGCAAGAAAATATTCCAAATTTTCAAACAAATGTTTTGTAAATTACGATCATTAAGCGTGAGAACAAAACTTAACATGGCTATAATTTTGAAACGAAATTGCGTGACATTGCTAGAACCAATTAAACGCATGATTTGTCCCAGACTATAAAGAGTTTCTTCTTTTAAAGGTTTTTCAAAGTTTGGTTCGGCCAAACAAGTTTGGAAATAAGTTATAACACCCAGAAAACGATCAGTAATAAAACTGGCAAATTCATGGGTGGGACTTTTAACAGATTTCTTCATAGCCATTGATGTGCTGGCGCCTACCTCATTGGGTAGTAGACATTGAAAAGCTTGCATAACAAAGGTGGGACTGCGATTAAAGTAAACCAGAAATTCCGAAACTGTTTGCTGAAAGAAAGCAAAATTGAGTCTTCAGAAAATGAGCTGTGAACATAATTTTAAATTTACCTACCTTTACATCAGTATTCATTAGCTTGCTTAAACTGGCCCCAGTACATTTGCCTATAAACTCAATACAGGCATTACCAATCTCTGCGTCTTCAGTTAAATAAATGTGTGTGTAAATGCGAAGAAAGGAAACCACAAATAAATTGGTTACCGGTTTTCGGGTTATTTTCGATATACTGACAATGAGTCCTTTGCACAAGGGAGCCTTAACACAATAGGGTAAAATCATAGTTACTAATAGACGATAGTATTTACAAATGAATTCTTGGACACAAGAAAAGCCCAGCATTTTGGTAAACTAAAATGAAAAGAAAAAAGTTTTGTTGAATAGGGTAGAATATATAGAAGTTTTTTTGAGAAGTTCTTCTTGGAAAGGGTTTTTTGAAATAGCTCTTTTTTTTGTGAAAAAGCTCGTTTTTATTGAAAAAGTTATATTTTATTGAAAAAATTTTTTTAATGAAAACACTTTTTGGGTGAAAATGTCTTTATGTTTTAGTTGTTTTAGGGAAAACGCATTTTAAGTAAAAAGGTCATCAAAAACTCAGAATTATTTAGTTTTTTGATTAATTTAGTTTGAAAAATAACAGAAACACTTACCGCCTTTAGAGATCTGGTCATTCGTACTCCCTTTGTAAGATAAACATAAATCATAAGCTTTACTATTAAATTTAAAGCATCACGTTTATACCAATTCCACAGCTGAATGGGTTGAACATTATAAGCACTACACATTTCACAACCCGTTAAAATGGCCTCATGTACTACCTTCGACTCAGGATGCAGCAGATAAAAGAAAGTCATTTTAAAGAAATGAAAAAGCCAATGTTCTGTAAGTAAACCACTTTGGGTACAGCAACCAATAATTTCCAAAATAATTTTTTGATGCTGATAAGTTTGATCGGTATTTAAGGATTCGACAACTTTTTGTAAAACAGCAGCGGAAAGTTGATGAATGAAATCGGGTTCAATTCGTATGAAATTTGCCAAAACTGAGGATACTGTAGGCAAATAGATTTTGGTCATATCCGTGAGTGAAAATATAGATTTAAGGCATTCATCTGATGTGATGTTGCAATAGGTAAGATGATTGTTTAAGAGATGTAGTTCTTTGTTTAAAAATAGTTGTTGTATAAGTAATAATTTCATATCAGCGGGTAATTTTTGATTAGTTGATAGCGTAGAGGAAACCATTTTGCTTACACATAGAACATTGATTTTATTTTCCAAAAACTCCTTTAAATTTTGTGAAGATTGCAGTAAAGATGCATTGAAGCAATTTAAACATAAAACCTCTGATTCCAACAATTTTGTACAATTTACTGCACAAATATTCGCAGAAAAGGGAAATTTCTTTATTACCATTATTTCTTTTGTTTCAGCATTGAAACAGCTTAATAACTTTAGCAAATTGGTATAGACTTCTTTATTTTTAAGATTTGCTACCAGAAATTCTTTCATTATATACTCCATAGTTATCCATTGCTTGTTTAGACAGGAAGAATATTTTAATATCAAATTATCTTGTTCCTTGTTAGACGAAAATATTTGTTTGCCTGCAGACTTTAAAGATTGTTTGATATTGCTGTTGGCATTTTCGCTTTTTAAATTATTTATTAAAGTTAACATTTCCAAACTAAGCTCCAAACTGGTTGAATCATTTTGAAGTATTTTCATGGGACTTAAATTTTTTATAGGTTTTAAAACAATTTCTATTAATTTAGCTTGTATTTGAGAGGGCAACTGAGTAACTATGATATTGGATTGTAGTAGAAATGCAGAAATTATTATTTCATCCATTTCATTGGGTGACACACGGCTGGAATGATTAAGTTTTGTGCACCATAAGTCCAAAGGTTTGATCCATTTTTCTATTTTTATACAATTACTCGGTAGTTTGTTTTGTAGTGTTATCTCGTTTACGGTGGAGACACTTTTTGCTTCCATTAATTGCTGTTGATGCTGATAAATATGTTCCCATAGTTTTAAACTATTTAAGCATTCATGGACTACTTCAAATTGTGATTTATTCCACTTTTCCAATTTTATAAATTCCAATACTTTTACTTCAATAAACTTAAAATATTTATCAAGTTTAGTTTTTTCTTTATTGTTATGCAAATAAGCGGGCAAGAGACGCAAAACAAGGGGATAATCCTCTACAACACGCCAAAAAAGATTGAAAAACTTTCCTTGCTGATCCTTGACAATAGTTGAAGAATTAATCAATTGAAATAATAATTCGACTGAAGTTTTAAAGACTTCCAATAAATTTTGGGTATTTTGACCGGTGCGATAACGTAGCCATTGATGAATTTCAAACATATACTCCATTAATAGGAAACAGTGACGTATGAGTATCTCCTTTTGCTCCACCTGATGTTGTAGATTCTTTAAAATTTTCAAAAAACTGCTTGATTCTTCAACAAACTCATCTATAGAATCCAAAGCAAAACAATTATTATTTAACCATATGGGCATATAATTCCACATCATTGTTAAGGCTCTTAGGCTTAGTTCATACAGATGCTGTAGGTTGTTGTTAAGCACGGGCACCTTTTGAAAGACTCTACCCAAATATTGTAAGCAATAGAGTTTTGTAGAAAATTCACATTCTTTCAAAGCTTTAAGAACTGTCATTAAGGATCCTTCAAAGGTTAGCGAGTAATTGGTATAACCCACAAATAGACCATGATGCAACACTTGTAATAAGGCCTGCACATAATCGTCCACATCATCTATGTCAACCTCGATGAGAGGAAAACTAAAATTTGGATCAATTTCTTTTAAACAATCATCGGACGATGTGAATGCTGTGATTTTAAGCAGCTGACTTTCAACTTCCTCTTGACAGGAGAGGTCCACTTTAGAATATTCTTCACATAATTGTTCAATGGCTGAAATGTAGGCTTTTATTAAGGTTTCGAAGAGCACGCCACGATTTATGAGGCAGGAATTTAATAATTTACGCTGAACTTTTAAATTCTTTTCGTGAATTCTTAAATGAGAACATAGAAAGACAAAAAGTAGGAAGTTAGATAAAAAAATGGAGTTAGGAACTGCTATCACGTATTATCTATACAGTTTTCTCTAAAAATCATTTCTTTTAATAGAAAAGTGTTTCCTAATGTGTATATATAGAAATAAAAATGTGATTGGACTACCATAAAATAACACTACAAATAATCCACACTAAGTGCCCAACAACCGCAGCCGTCGTCAACTTTACTTACTCATAATCCTGATCACTTTCCACTTTTAAAGACTTTACCAATTTATTGACCAGCCATAAAATGAAAGTGTCTTGGAAACGATTAGTGCTCTCCTTCACCGAATATCGTATCAAACTGGGTTCCTTGCACAAGATATCATCGACAAAAACAAAGACATCATTTAGCTCTGTTTCATTGCGATTTACTAAACTGTACAACAGTTTCCACATATCTTTACGACGGTCCGTCATGGTTTGAGATAGTTTTTAAACACTTTTATACAAATTTAGATTAATTTCTTAAATTCTTTATTTATTTCACATTTTCTGCAGAATATTGCAATACTCGATGCAAAACGCGCGCGACAACAAACAATAACTGGGTAAAACAGGGTTGTTATTAGTAAACAACAAAAAGTGCTACCAAGTTTAATTTTGCGTTCCTATTAGACAATTGTGATGGTACATTCATTTAATTTGTATTTAATGCATTTAGTACTTTACACTAGAGAAGGCAAAGTACTGAATTGATTTTTATTATTATGAAAATGGAAATAATTATAATAAAAAAATAAACTACTTAGTTTAAACAAAATGATCACTCATAACATACATATATCGGTCATTTACTACAAAAAGTCGTTTCGAGAAAAATAGCTTTGAATGTTTAATTACCTACATTTTACCATTTTTTAAATAACTTTTAAACAAATCATGAAATTAAAATCGTGGACAAAAAAACGATTTTATTTTTTGGATTCCATATGTACATAATTAGAATTTAAAATTTTGGAATTATTTGCAAATTTATAACAGATAAGAGTTTTTATGAACATATTCATACAACCGATAGAAATATAAAAATGTTATTTTAATTTAATACTTAAAATGCCGTTAAATAGCCAAATTATTAAAAAAGCACCAGAATATAATGTTTGATCCAAAATCAACAATATATAGTTAAACACGACAATGAAATTAATCATAATCGGTAATATCTCAAAAACCATAAACCCAAACAGAGTTTAGTATTCAGTTATGTTTCTCTTAAAAAGAGCTATAAAAATACAAATAGATTTGTGGGATTGTTTGCTGAATATTTTCCCATCGTGATAATGAACGACTATTGAATATAGTCCATCTACATATGTAAGTATTTTCCAAAAACCGGTTTTCGAATATATAGGTCACATTTGAAAAAAAAAAAAAAACAGGTTGACATTTTTCGAATCCAGAAAAACCCGGTTAACCGGCTTTTCATCATAAATAACAAAATATATAACGAAACCGATTTTTAAAAAGTAAAAACCGGCTTATTCGATATTGGATAAATTAAAATTTAGAAGAAACCGACACTGAAAAAACAGGTTTTAAACCCGGTTGAAAACCCGAGTCGATCACTCTAATAAGTATAGGTATAGGAAAATTTAAAAGTTTGATTAAGATTAAAAAAAACCGTCCCCATATAGGTATAAATCTATGTAAAAATTAAAATTTATCCGAAAAACTATGAAATTTTGATATACTTTTGAACTAGCACAAAAGTTGATGATAAGCTCACCCAGCTTTGGACCCAAAACAAAAATTTTAACAAGTTTCGCTGGAAACTTCAGTACCTTATTTTTCTCCATGTAAATGGGGCCATCCTAATGTAGCCGTATCAATTTCCAGCTTATAAAAAATGATCTATAAATATTGATTGAACTTTATTATTTCCATGTGTTTTATCACAAAACCAAAACTCCAATTAGAATGTGAGAAATATGAGCTTCCTTGTAAAAAACAACTATTAGCAGCCTCATTGTTGCCGGCAATTGGGACTCTATTAGTTTTATTAACTTGCTCATAATGAGAAAGAACTTACAAATTATTTTGTTACAGCAACTTTCCATTGTTATTTACACAGAAACGAAATTCATCCGGTTTCTCTCATGTCTGGCTTCCATACTTTAGACGCCTCAAGGCTTCGTTCCAAAAATTCTATAAGTTTATAAATTCTGTGACACCAGACTTTGGCGGAAGCTTTATATCATAGATAACGCATCAGCAGCGAATTGATTCTTACAACAAATCATTCTTCACATTCCACAAATCCAGCAATGTGTGTATCTAACATTTTTTTATGTTTAATTGATTTATTTTATATTTTTTCACTAGCTAAAATTTTCACTGCAAAACGCGCGCGAAAGTCTAAAGAAAACTAAATAAGAAGCCGGCACGAATAAGAAAATAAAAGAAAAAGTAATGCCAAGTTTTTAGGTTGTCCTTATTAGAGTTAGTGTTGATAATATGACGATATCAAACGATAGCTAGTCTTATTTTGTAAAAAAAAATTTAAAAAAAACCGGAAAGTCAATTACTGAACAAAGTATACCCGATGATAGTGATTTAAATATATTCCGATCGGAAGTAGAATAATGTATTTCCTTTTCTTCATTTTTAACAAAAAAATTCGAATTCCCACTTGTTTATGTAAAATGTAAGGTTTTTTTAAAAGTTCCAAATAAAAAAAGTTATATAAAATTTAAAGCTAAAAATACATTTTAGCCATATAAAGAAAATAGTGTTAAACCAAATTCCTTGATATGAAAACTTGTTTTTTAATGTGAATTAAAAAAGAACTTATAAGATTATTGTGAGCCAACAATATTAATCGAAATCTAAAGAAACTAAAACAATATCAATCGGAATATAAGCTACAGAATGGATATTGTTCAATTCGATAATTAATAAATTTTTTCTTAATTTCTTAAGTTTAAATATCAAAATCATTAAGGTTCCTATTCCAAAAATCTCCCTGATGTTTATAAGTTATGATTTGATGGGAGGCATAGCCGAAACTAACACTCTTACTTTTTATTTAGTGAAATAGCTCTTTTTGGTGAAAAACTTTGTTTTTATTGAAAACGTTATGTTCTATTAAAAAAGATTTTTTAAGTGGAAAGCTTTAGTGAAATAACTTTGTTTGTAAAAGAGACTTGTTTTAAAGAAAAAAACGCAAAGTCATCAACAACTCAGAATTATTTAGAAGTTTTTCTCAAAAAAAAATATATATTTTTTTTTTAATTTAGTTTAAAAAATAACAAAAACACTTACCGCCTTTCGAGATCTGGTCATTCGTACTCCCTTGGTAAGATAAACGGAAATCATAAGCTTCACTATTAAATTTGAAGCATCATGTTTACACCAATTCCACAGCTGAATGGGTTGAACATTATAAGCACTACACATTTCATAACCCGTTAAAAAGGTCTCTTCTTCAGGACTTGTACAGCAACTAATAATTTCCAAGTTTGATCGGGGTTTAGGGATTATTTTAATTATTTTCGTAGATTCTTAAATGAGAACACAGAAAGATAAAAAGTAGTAAATTAGATAAAAATGGATTATATTAATTTCATTTAGTGAAAACTTTCATCACAATACAAGTCTGTACAAAAGTTCTATAATTATCTTCCAAAAGTTTCCTTCCCATTAAATATTTCCGTAGTAAGTTATCCTCCTAATATAGTTTTCCTTAAGGAAAAGCAGTTGTCATTAATCATTTCTAGCAGCCCCATTGTTAACGGCAATTGAGACTCCATTAGTTTTATTAACATGCTCATAATGAGAAAGAACTTACAAATTATTTTGTTACAGCAACTTTCCATTGTTATTCACACAGAAACGAAATTCATCCGGTTTCTCTCATGTCTGGCTTCCATACTTTAGACGCCTCAAGGCTTCGTTCCAAAAATTCTACAAGTTTATAAATTCTGTGACACCAGACGGAAGCTTTATATCATAGGAAACACAATCAGCAGCGAATTGATTCTTACAACAAATAATTCTTCACATTCCACAAATCCAGCAATGTGCGTATCTAACATTTTTTATTGTTTAATTGATTTATTTTATATTTTTTTATTAGCTAAAATTTTCACTGTAAAACGCGCGCGAAAGTCTAAAGAAAACTAAATAAGAAGACGGCACGAACAAGAAAATAAAGAAAAAGTAATGCCAAGTTTTTTGGTTGTTGTTATTAGAGTGAGTGTTGATAACATGACGATACCAAACGATTTTGTAAAAAAAAAAAATAAATAAAAGACCGGAAAGTCAATTATTGAACAAAAGTTGTGTTAACTTGTATAATTTTACACGTTAACTCCTAACGTTTATAAATTTATATGAAATTGCCTTTGAACGTTAGTAACAAAACACAACTATATACTTTATACCCGATGATAGTGATTTAAATATTTTCCTTTTTTTCATTTTCAACAAAAAATTTTAAATTCCCACTTGTTTGTGTAATGTAACGTAATGGACCCTCCTAAGGTTTTTTTGTTAAAAAGTTCCAAATAAGAAAAAAAAGTTATAAAATATAAAAGTTTAAGCTAAAAATACATTTTAACCATATAAAGAAATTCCTTGATTTGAAAACTTGTTTTTAATATGAATTAAAAAAGTTCATAAAGAACCATAAATAGGTCCATCTTCCGAAATTCATGTCTATTTTACAGGTTATGATTTGATGGGGGCATATAAGATTCGGCATCAGAGATACAAGCCGATGGGAAATGATCGGCGGCGGCGGCGCAACCATTTTGGGTCGGCGGCGGCGGCTTATTACAAAAAATATCGGCGGCGGCTAAATTGTCGGCTCAATTTAACTTTTTCTTTAGAAATTGACCTTATAAGGTTTATTATATTGAAAAATCTTTGTATAATAGTCTGTTACATAGAAACCTGTCTCTATATAAGTTTTTTTCTGCAGAAAACTATTTTAATATTAGCACAATATTGTGTGGCAACTCTTTTCAATTTGCCATAAGAATTTAAAATAGTGGCAACTCCGTTCAATTTGGTGAAATTATGTTCTGAAATACATGTGTGATTCTAATCTTTATCAGCGGCTACGTTTAAGCCGGCTTAGCTTTTGAGCCGCCGCCGATTTGAGCCGTCTCGGCTTGTATCTCTGTTCGGCATAGCCGAAAATAACACTCTTACTTTTTATTTAGTGAAATAGCGCTCGTTTTTATTGAAAACGTTATGTTCTATTAAAAAAGATCTTTTTAAGTGGAAAGCTTTAGTGAAATAACTTTGTTTGTAAAAGAGATTATGTATTTTAATGAAAAAACAAAAAGTAATCAATAACTCAGAATTACTTTAGTTTGAAAAATAACAAAAACACTGGTGATTCCTACTCCCTGGTCATTCGTACTAGCTTCACTATTAAATTTGAAGCATCACGTTTACACCAATTCCACAGCTGAATGGGTTGAACATTATAAGCACTACACATTTCATAACCAGTTAAAATGGCCCCCTTTACCAGTGTCGGTTTTTTCTTAATGTTGATTTTTCGAATATCGAATAACCCGTTTTTTCACCGG